GGGAAAGAGGGGCTATAGCGTGTCCTTAAGCCTTTTGCAGAGTCCCGAGATAACTGCGAGATTCTGGCCTCTGTCAGGAGAAAGAGACTGATGAAATCCCATCATTATTGTCCCACTGCAAATCTGGGATTTAGCCTAGTTCTGCATGCTGGGTGCAGCTCAGACTTCCAGTAGTCTTGTACGGAGAGTTTGAGATACGGAAGAAATACTGCATTGTGCTTGCTTTTTCCTGTAAGGAAAAATCATGGCTATGTTATCAGAGTATTTAACTGTAGAATGTCCTTAATATTTTACTAATACGAGAAGAAGGAAGATGCCGAAACTTATGGCATTTCATAAGTAAGATTATGGGCTGATTTCTGATTGGATGACAGGGCCCTAATAATAAAGCTCATAATTTTATACTATATTCCTCTGGTAACAACAGAATTTCTTTGTGTATAACAGAACCGTTTCTATTCAGGAACCTTGTTAACAGTTGTAAACTCAGATTATCATTTTTATTAGCCTGGTATTTTCTTATTTCTGTGTTACTGACAGGAAATTATAGCGAATTTTCTAGTTCTTTTTTTTTTTTTTTTTGCTTTGAAAGTAATTTCATTCAACTGGAAATTTCCAAACATTACGTAGAGTATTACTAGAAGCTAACTGCAATTTAAAGAGTACAGGTTGGTTAAAAATATATATTTCCAGATTAAATTCAAGCAGAAAGTAGACTGGTAGATTGAGTTAGTGTATTTTTGGGTTTTTTGGAGATACAGCCATCTGGGTTTTTATACTTCTTGCCTTCAGAAGTAAATTATGATCACTGGACTCCAGATCAAAACTCGGCTGCACTTTGTTGCCGTGTTGCCTCTTCACAGTACCATTGGCACCAGTTACCCTCGTGACAGAGTAGCCACGGCCACATTTGGGCAGGGCTCCACCAGCCTTGCCCATGGCTGAGGTCCCCACCGTGGGTGGCGAGTGGGAACTGCTGTGGAGTTCCCATGGCTTTGGGTGACTGGGAAACTTGGATGAGGGTACTGGCTGTTGTTTTACCCCGTTAGGCCATTTGAGCAATGTAAAAGCACTCTTTCTAGGAGAATGTGAGGCTATAGCTGCATAATTTACTGTCAACAGCCTACAGTTTATTCATATTACATCAGATACGCTCCTAACTGTCAGTTGATACGGAGTGAATAAAAACTTATTTCCATAACAAGAACGCTGAATTCAATCCTTCTCTTCTCTGGTTATAAATGGATGGGAGTTTAGGATTACGGGGGACAAAGCCTAATTTTCTGGGCCTTTGCAGACCTTGGTGTCTGGGGTGGGGGGCCAAGTTGTCAGGGCAGAAATGAGATGTGGGAGCTACAAAGACCTCATTTCGCAAGACACCAGCTTTTTCCGCACAGGCGAAGCAAACCTTCTGCAGAAAAGTGTTGCAGGGCTTGAAATTGAGGCTGGAATAGGGAGTGAGAAACTTCTGTGAGTGCAGTGCCATTAACCCTGTCCTCTAACAAAGTTGTTGCAGCTGTGAAAGTAATTTTCCATACGGCATGAGTACATCTTCTTTTTTTCTCCAGATAACTAAAGGGAGTTTGTGCTTAATTACTGATCGTTGTTTGCCTCCTCTCTCCCCTCACAAATCCACTCCTGTGAACGCTTTATGCATTTGTCAAAACAGACGCTCAGGTTTAGACAATCTGATGTATTAATCTGCAGACAGTTAATTGCAAGACACTTTTTTTGAAATATTGAGGAGGACAGTTTTCAAGGAGTTAGAGGACAAAGTCACACTGGGTTCCTAAATCCACTCTATTTTTCTGAAAAACACTGTCCTATGTTCTAAAGTTTTCCTTGACATGACCAGGGAAACTTGAATTGTAAGAGTCGTGTTTATTCACATAGTTTACTTCGAAATGTTTATTCACATAGTTTACTCAAAAGACTTCAGTAAGAGCCTACAGGATCAGGTCCTAAGTGTAACTGCAGTTAGGTAAAGAGAGATTTTTCATCGATGATAAGATCCAATCTTGGGAATACCCAGCAATTTCCTCTACAGTGCTGGACAAGCTCAGCTTTCTTGTTGATTTAACTGGGTCTTGCAGCATTCAATACTTGGCAGAATCACATCCACAAAGTCCAAGAAAAAACACACTAGATGACAAGTTCTATGACGGTAAAAACAAAACAAGACCTCAGCACTTCTCATTTCAAAAACAATGTATTCATGTCAGAAAGCGAGCAGAAATCAGACCTCGGAAGTACTCGTAAGGCAGGAACTACAATGTGTACAATACAGAGCTGATTGTATCTCACAGGCTTGTTTTCATAGGGAACTATCCATAGCATCAACTCAATCCTGACCACAGCAGTGCTAGATATATCATGTCAAAGTTTGTCATCTTCTTGCAAATAACCACTGCTAAGACTTGACGAGGTACGAAGTGGAACATCCCTTCCCCTTTCCTCCAGAAGAACAACACAATGGACAGTAAGAACTTAACCCAGGACTAAGCAATAAATCCTGGGTACGCTGACCCCACTCAACGCAAGCTGAAAAGATATTTATTTATTTTTTAAAAAGTTTCCGCGTTGCACTTCCTACCTAGTAAACAGCTGAACAGGCACAATGATTCCCAAGACCATCTCCACCCCCATCTCCACCCCCGTTGTATCGGTGCTTCAGGCAACACTCAAAAAAAAAAAAAAACCCACGCACACAAAACCCCCAACTCAAGTATCTTTTCTGATAGGAGCATGGAACAGTAACCAAAAAACAAGCAAGTCCTCATTGTCATAGTGCGACAATCACAGCGCTGCTTCTGTTGAGCAAAGAGTCAATTCACAGAGAGAAAAGCATCATGAGGACAGACACGAAAGCTGCTATTACCCATTTTAAGTAATAGGAGAAGGTCACATATCAAGCAGTTACACCTTTTCATTGCATCCTAACCCTCCACAGCAGGGGAACCACACTTATGACTGCGTTAGATATACAAAAGCTTTCAGTTCCAAAAAAGGAAAAGAAAAGATGGGGAAGGGGGGGGAAAAAAAAAAATTCGTCTTACCAGCACGTTGCAGCACCAACTTGCTTGAAGGAATGTTGCCTTTACAGGTTTCTCTTTTAATTATCCTGGAAGCAGAAGGGGAGGGGTGGGGGGAGAAAAGAAGACGAAGCAGGCTTGTTAAATTAGCGCGTGCCAGGATCTTTTCAGTTTGTCGCAGAGTAGAAAAATACCAAAAAAAAAAAAAACCACACGCAAAGAAAGAAAAAAAAAAAGAAAAAAAAAGAAGGAAAAAGAAAGCTCAGTAATTTAAATTTGCTGTCAGTTCAGGCAGCATCGTTCTGTCCCGCCCCTCTTCCCACTGGGTTCTACTACCTGCAGGGCTGCAACTGACAGCTACTGTGCAAACAAAAAAAGAGGCAAAAAGCATGCTGGGACCATGCTGTCTGCTGTCTGAGTCTCTCTCCACTTCTGATGACTGAAAATCGTTAGCGGAAAGGTTCTGTTGTCGTTTGCTGGGATTTGTAAGTTGGGTGCTTTGAATGAAATTTAATGTCATTTTAATTGATACGACACGGCACGTGACGGAAACCGGTGACTGCTTCCCCCAGCTTTCCCCAGAATGGAAACTAACCTGAATGCATTGATTTTAGTATTATGGGATATGTAGGACATGCACGGGCTTTTAGCATGTTGCATTTTGCAGGCATGCATTCACGCCTTCCGGTAATACGGGGTGCAAAAATTGTAGGTTTGAATGGAAAGTCAGGAAAGCCTTTCAACACAAACAAGTTAAAACTCTGGCACTCAGAAAAGTTGCCGGGATGATTATTGCTCTACTTTTTGGTTTTCCTACTAAACTTTTTCAAATTATATGTAAAAACAAAAAGTAGCAGAAGTCAGAGGCAAAATGAACGACCGGCGCAACACTTGTGCAAAATGGATAACCTAACAGTCAGAGTAGATAAAAAGCTACACGTTTGACCAAATGTTTAAAATTACAAGAAAAAAATTACAAAAGCTATGAAAACCTTTTTACAGCTATTTTAATTGTTGCTGACAGGCTTTTAGCAATAGGGCTAAAACCATCCTTCCAAAACAGAGAGAAACGTAATCTATAACTTCTGACTATTAATGTAGTCACCAAAATAGAGTTCCCACCTAATTATAAAATAAAATTAAAAGAGTGAAATAACACTTTTCCTTAATACTTTAGTAGTAATTGCTTGGATCATGCTACAGGAAATATGCAACATTTGTATTCAGTGATTACTCTACTTATGTGTGTAACCATAAAAAAAAAAGCTGAACGTTTAAACTTAATTAAATTAATCTCTGTTTTACTCGAAGTTTGCCATTTAGACAGGAAGAGACACATGCATGCTGAACATGCCTTTCATAGACAGCTGGCTTCTAAACAGATTTTTAAAAATTCTGCAGAAACTAATTACTGCTGTAGCTGCACCCGTCCCGCGGCCTTTACTCACCAAAACAGCTCAAAAAGGATGACTCTTACCATCAGAAGTAGCACAACAGGGCTTGAGGGGCAGGGTCTACATCCCTCATAAAGCTCCCTTTAAGGTTCCCACTTTAAATTGGGACCACGTTCAGCTTTTAAGCTACTTTCCTTCTCTTTTAAAGCCTCCAGACCCCTTTAACAGGTGACTATCTAGAGCCAGCTCTGCAGACCACAGAGGTCTCCCACTCTTCCAGAGATGAGACTTCATTTGTCATGGCCAAGAGCCATCTCTTTGTCACGTTTACCAAGATCTCTTAGTAATCTCATGCTGTCTACAAGACTGTTTACTGTCCCCTGTGGGTTCAGTCGCAGTATGGAGGCGAAAGACAGCATAGGATTGTCTTCAGGATGAAAATTCCAGTAATTAAGGACAGTGAACAGAATTCAGAAGCACAAAGCAGATCCCTCAAGTATTCACAATAAAAATGTAGCATTTTTGCATTAGTAAGTTGTCATAATTTGCACTCATGAAGCTTTGAAATCATATTTTTTTATGCTAGTAAAATGCTGTAGTATACATTTTCCTCCAAGTTCAGTGCCCCCTGGCTCCCTGCTATTTGTTTTAATCACAAAACTTTCTTTCCTTCTTGCTAGCTGTTAAGATGAAAAAATGATAAATGGTAAAAAATATGTTCTTCATGACTTGACAGGGTTTAATCCTTATTTTCTTCATACACATACACAGACATGTGCTCAATTTCAAAATTCTGATAAATCCAACTAACTTATTATCCTTCTATATTTCCTTGCAAAAGTCAAGGGTAGCCTGCTTTTAATGTACTTGGCATTTTAAACAAGGCACTCAGACCTTCAAAAGACAAATAATTGAACTTTGCCTTTAATGGAATAAGGTAATGAACTAAATAACAAATACTATAAAAGCTAGATTTAGCAAGCAGATACAGTCAAGAAGGCAATTTGACTAATTGGTTGAGAAAATGCACAAGAGCTCATAAAATCAAACACTTATGGAAACACCTTATTTCTGCTATTAAATTTAAAATAAAAATAGTGGTAAAGCAAGCTGTTATTATCAAGCTTGTCTTCTGTATTGTAGGACATCATAAAACACAAAAACAAATGTACTGGTGTTTAAAAGAGCAGAGTCTGACTGAAGTCAGTGGAAGCTTCATTCATTTTAAGGTTTTAGTGATGCTCTTTGTTGCTATTAATCATTCAATGCCTCCATTTGAATCTAATTTCGTTTGAGGGTCACAGGCTTTGGGCTATAGCAGTAAGTCAAGTCAGGTACTATGGAAAAGGTAATACTTTCTTTGTGGTTCTGCAATCAGTTTTTAATGAATCAGAGTTAAATTAAAGAAGCAGTAATTAATGGAGGTTTCCTACGATCTAATACAGCAGAAGGTATCTAATTAACCTGTGTATCCTTCATGAAGCTCCCTCAACTGAGCGAAGCGTTTCCTGGTTTTGTTGTAGTCGGGGACATTTTTGCCTTTAACCTCAGTGGAGTTCATATTGACCGGGCTGTCTTTTAGAAGTTTTTACATCGTTGCCTTCCAAGGTTTGGGTCCTAAACAAACTGAAAGAGCCCTCTCCTCAAGCTTCTCCCACTTCTGTTTTCCCTGTAGTTTGGCAGATGTCAGAAGTCGCACCCTTCAGAAATACCCATCCCCTTCGAAAAAAAATAGACCTTCAAAAAACATTTTTCCACTGCTTCTAAATGGACACTGCTCTACCGATTTGGGAAAAGGGTTGAGAAGGGCTTTTAGTCCAATCTGAACCGAGTCCCAGCAGTAAGAAGAAAGATTTGCAAGCTTGGCAAATACCAAAAGGGAACAGAGAGATCCCTTCCCACCTCTTGTAAAGTCTTTCTTCATAGCCAGGTCTATCTAAAGGGCCTCAGTCTGAGTGAGTCAAACCCTCTGCCTCTCCACCCCTGGGAAGCAAAGGAGCTCACCCAGCTGTATCGAGCCCCTTCCCCTCCTTGGCTGCATACAGGGGATCTAGGGAAGGTGCGAATGATATGTCTGAGCAGTGTAAACAGCCAAGTCCCTTACTATATGGAGACTTGGGAACAAACGTGGGCCGTGCAGCCAGTCATGACTTCCAACTTTCAGCAGTCAGGCACTTTGAGATTTATAATCTGTATTGATTATGCCCAAGTAATACCCCACCGCCGGTGACTTCCCGTACCATATTTCGTTGTGTACAAGCTGAGACTGCTGTTGCACGTAACTGCTTCCTCCTGCAGCTTTAAATTGAGGGTGGCTTTCCCCCACCTTTAATTGCTTGCCCCTGCCGTTCACAACAGAAAGATAGTTGAAGGTGGCTTCTAAACAAAGATATACAGTAATTAAAATCTCTTTTAAAGAGAGCTTTCTGTACAGCACCTGCTGTTAATTGAGTACTTTGTGTACAGTTTCGTGTAGTCTTTGTAGCCTGTGCATTATTTCAGAAGTGGCAATTTGTTGGAGGAATCCTATGTCTAGTGAGCTGACCTATATATGTTCCATTACCCTATGCTAGAAAAAGCAGAAGATATCCCCTCCTGCCCTGGGCAAAGTCCATTTCATAAAAAAGGTTCGATAAAGCGAAAGGAAATGCTGTAAACTTCTGCTTGCCTTGTGGCTAATCACCATTTAATTTCTTCCAGGAAAAAAAAAAAGACTTGTTACAGTTCCTATTAAAGCACCATGGTTTTATAATGTGCAGTTTTGCTTTCTGAAAATCCTTATTGAGGAAGAAAAACTTCTGTAGCTTATGCATGTGACTTAATAACTGACAGTTACACACCTTAGTTCTTTGTTGCCTTGTCTGTGGTTGAATTCATTTTTCATACCTATGTTGCTGTCCCCTGGGTACATCCTGCTGTCTCCTTACAATCAAAAAGGGCTAGCATTAAAAAAAAGGCTAGCGTTAAAAAAAAAAACGCAGAATTTGGTGCATCAATAAATTAATCCAGCTTTGCATGACAGCCTTGCAAATGCTTGTGTCTTAAGTATAGCTTGTGGGGTGGAAGTAAAGCACTAAGACAAGAAAGGGAGACAGATACTCTGCTTAAATTCCCTCTCTTTTCACAGAAAAAAATAATGTAAAAGATAAGGGTGCCACTTCTATTCATACAGTGGTTTTGGGTTTGGTTGTGTTCAACAGGATGTTAGCTGATGATTTGGTGGGAGCTTCCAGATGCTAAATCTGGAAATATTTAAGCTGAGAAAGAAAATTGCTGAGAAGTTTTGCAATGCGGCAATAATAGCCTTGACTCAGAGGTGGAAGGGGACGTCGTCTATGCTGGTGTAAGCAGGAGAAGGAAAGGACGTGACCAGACTCTCCTTATTAACATTGAGTCTAGGAGTCCTTAACTGCCTCCTATGAAATTTTCTTCTTAACAGCCTCAGAATAGGACAGGGATTTACCGCATTTCTCACTGTCACAGACCAGAAGGGTAAAACAATAAAAAAGATGTCTACCATGGCCACTATGAGATGGTCAGCACCAAAACTTTACAGAAAGCATAGGAAGTTTCCAATTCTTAGGAAATGCCGCAATAAATCAGACAGCAATAAGCATTATATATTTTATCAAAGACCACCACAAACATATATCTTATTTCTTCTGATACACATCTTCATAGCCAACCCGCATGAGCAAAGCTTCCAGACACATTTAAATGTATTTTCACAATACACAGCCACGAATAATTCATTGTTGCACCAGCCCTGACATAATCTATTATTCACTGATATCCTAAAACTCCCTAAAATGGTTCCCAATACGAGTCTAATGCCTACTTGCCTTACAATATCAGTCTATCTACAGCTACTGCCATGGAAAAAACTGGCCAGTTTGGAGACTACATGCTGCCTAAATACCTGTTTCTCCAAAGTTCAAGTGACTAGTTAACGAAGCAGTCTCAACAGCTCCAAACACACCTTTTCAGCCTGTGATTTCTGAGTCACTAACCCCTTAGGATTATGAAGCTTATCCCCTGGCAAGCATCCCTCCATCCTCTCAGACTCTAATTTAATGCCCAGGAATGTGATCACTTTGATGGTACCAGCTGTTTCTTCTCCAGCCAAAGCACTCCAAACACTTTGGCAGCTTCCCTAAATGTGCTCAGTAAATCCTGACACACAATGGGAGCGCGTTCCTCAGCTCCTTGGCAAAAAGGCTTTCTTGTCTGCCGCGCTGACCCTGACATTGGACTTATGTGTTCACACCTTACTGTGGGGTAGATCCAGGCAGGATCCAGCACGAATGCAGAAAGTGCGGGTTGGCAGCTCTCAACCAACCTCATTATTGCCTTCCTGCTTAAAACTTAACAGGTGAGAAGTATGCAAATAAACAGGCAAAGCAATGATTTGGTATTTATTGAGCCTGCCTCTAAAATCTTCTTTGTCTTTTGCAGTCTTTACAAGAGGTATTATTAGCAGGGATAGGAGCAGTGCTTATTAAAGTTTCCCCATGTTTCCTCTTATATAACCCCGATTTCAGCTGCTTGTGGCTTTTTACCACACTGCATTTTGGGATTAAATTTTCTCTGCTAGTGGTCTGCTTGTGATTGTTGAAAACTTCAGCCAAATCAACCCAGTCTTTACTGAGAGCCGGTCTTAAAGAACTTCAGATGACAGTAGTCTTCACTTTCAGGGGATCTAGGACTATTATGTTTCTGCCAGGATTCAAGCGGTGATTTGAAATTTGTCCAGAAGGGTGGCATTTGTGTCAGGAACAGCAAAAAAAAAATGCATCCATAGCAAAAACTATACAAATGGAGGCACTTCTGCAGAAGCTGGGGAAAAAAAGCGTAGGATGCACAAGCTACAGATTTGTCCGTCAAGGAGTCTACGGCTCCCTTTAAGAGTCCACCTGTACCCGCCCAGGTCCAGGACTCGTCACGAACTTCAGCCGCTGGGATGCTCTGGGGCTCCCTGACGGAAGCACAGGCTTGATTACGGTCAAGCGATTTTCCACTTTGTTTAATTATTAGCTGGCTCCCTCTAATAGCATTGGCCTTGCTAGCTAGCACTCTCTCAGCTGAAGCCTGGTCATGGTTTAGGGAGTAGCGCAGCATGACTGAGATGGCAGGATGTCACCACCCTGATTTTGGGGGAGAAAGTTCAGGGATGGAAGCTTAGCCGTATAGATTTGAGCTGTGCAGTGCCATTACTCTCAGGGCTGTAGCCTACTTCATTTACTACTGCAGTTATGGCCGTTATATCTAGCTCTGAGCACCTGAACTGTGAGTAGAAATGCTCTGAAACTAAAGACAGGGGAAAGGAGCTGGGCCTGCGGGGAATATGTTAGGAGAGCAAATTCAGACACAAAGTCAGGAGGACAGAGAGAGAAAGGATGGGAATTGCCTGGAAAAGGACAGCTAAAACAAAGATGCTGCTGGAGAGGAGCGTGGGGTAGGTTGTGAAGGATTTCTTGAACGCAAACAAGGAGGGAAAGTGCAGTCAGTCTGGAGAAGCACCATCAGAAAGAGGTGAGATGGGTAAAAAGATTTCTATGGTAAAGGATGCCTGATTTTGGAGCATTGTACAACATAGGCACTGGGGGAGGGTATAAAAAGTGCTAGAGTGATCTAAACTGCAGTTTTTCCTAACTTTTTGAAGTGCCTGACTTGCATAAATAATACTGTTCTTGGACAGCTTTTAGCTCGCCTGGGAGCTCTACAGACTTCTAGTGGTGGCCGTTGCTAGAGGTCCTTGAAATTGCTGAAAATATGAGTTAATAATAATGAAAAGCAATATAAAGACCAGCCAAGTCCCATTAAACTCTTTACTAGTTGCTGTGCCTGCTACTTACTTATCATTTTATTTTTATTTTTTCTTCCCCTCTGTGTGTCTCTTCCGACAGCAGAGCTTTGCCTTGAAGGGCAAAAACATCCCATCTGTTGTGCTCTGAGGGTGTAAACGCACATCTGAAAAATGGAAATACTCCTCTCTTTGGTATATACAAGAGGCTGGTAGACCCTCTGTTGCCTGCACTGGAAATGGGTAATCTCTGTCTCCCTCATGGCTAACTATGCACAAATTGTGTCATCTTGTACACAAAGGGCAGATCTGATTGGGGCATATGTTATCATATAGCTGCAGTCACACAGAGGCCCTCAACATGAATACTATTAAAATGTGAAGCGCTCATAGATTATTTTAGGCTTCACGGAGAGCCATCACAGCTACTGCAATAAATTAGAGCAGTTGCCAGGCACTTATGTATCAGTGCACCCTAGCTGTCGCTTCACAGGCTGCAGCGCGGCTCTGCCCAGGGTTTGGAGGAGATGCCGCAGGCACGTTTTCCCGGGCCAGGGCTTCTGCACCTTGCTCGCTGCTCCCAAACTGGAAGGGTTGTCCTCCAACAGTGCTGCTGTGGTCTCCTGCAGAGAGCCAGGGAGACACGTGCAGGTCAAAGGATGTGCCGAAACCTCGCTGTCGGTCTGCAACAGCTTTCCTCTGTCATCCTCCTGAGATTTCTTTCTCCCCATCCAGATGCAGACCCAGGATGTTTTTTCGGGACAATTGTGTGAAACAGCCCCTGTCCTGCCTCACGTCTGCATCACCCCTATTCCTTTGATATAATGTTAAATGACCATCTGCCAAGAAGCAGAGAAGACAATAACCTTAAGCATAAACATTCCCAGGTATAAATGTACCGTTGCTCTGTAATAAAGCATTAGGCTTCCAATATAAAATTAAGAATTGTATGTTGCACATAGCATATGTAATGAAGAGGAAATTGATTTTTTTTTTACTATATTTGTTTCAATTCAATTGACTTTAGGTAATTCAATGGGAGTAATTATTAGTTATTACAGCACTTAGGATAGTTTTTATTAAAGTTTTGGTCCTAACAACGAAACTCATTAACCATTGTTAAGCATTGTACATAAAATAGGAACCTCTCACCGAAAGGATAGAAACTGGATATGTCAGAGGAGAAAAAAAAGACATAAATTAGGCCTAAAATCTGATATATCTTAAAATTGCTGTTTGCTGAGGAATGCTTTCTAAATTACAAAATATTTAATAAAAAAACTTTCAATTCGGAATTAAAGCTTTTGGAAACAAGTATCATTAGTTTAGTGGAATGAAATAATAGAGTTTGCTTGCAGTGATGTGTATATATCGCTATATAATGAAATAAGATCCATCTCTGATATAGAAAATTCCATATGTTGACAGCGATTTATGAAAAAGTGTATTACTACCTCCATGTTATCACTATAAAAGGAAGGTCTAAAAGATATTTAATATTTTCTTCACATTCACAGCAAAGGTTAGGGAAAGAAAGAGGGACAGAGCTCTGAGCACAGTGTACAATTCCTTGTGTTAAACTACTATTGCTTCTATTTCTAACGTTGTCTAGATGACGTAGTAACTAAATAAATAGTAAGGGCTGATTTTCAGTAATATCTAGGCATTTATTAATTAGATTAGTCTGACCTGAAAAAAAAAATCCTTACCCTACACAAAAACAATGAAGTAAGCCCCTTCAGGACCAGTTTGAAATATGCTTTCCTAGAAATCACATTTTATCAAATGAGAAGGGTTAAGTCAATAGGAAGCAGCACAGGTTACAAGTGTCAATGATCTGCAGGGTTATCGAGTTTATGTTCTTATTTGACCAAAGTTTATTATCGCACAGCCCTAGAATTGCCTGCTCCTTCTTTTAAATGCCTGAAGTGATAAAGCTTACGTCTTCTCTGTGTGTGGCTATTTCACTGGCTACTAGATTTTGATTTTGGTCTCTTTATTTTTGTCTCGTTCTCCTTGGCCGACTACAATGATAGTATTGGTAGAATAGGAAAATATTTATCTGCAGATGGACATGCCTGCTTTCATATGGCTTATGCAAGTAACTTCTTTATTGTGTCCTTATAAAACAATTACTCCTGAAGGGAAGAAAAATGTCTTAACTCCTTGTACCTTGCCCTCTGGTACTGAGGTGCTTTCATTTAGAGATAGTCTGCCAGATATTGCTGCACACACAGCTGCAGCGTTTCATCTTGTTTTATGACACATATGAATTTTGCCTAAGTCTTTAACTCAACAATATTTATTTTTTTGTTTCTGCTTCCCACTGCAAATTATCTCTAAGTTCTCTTTCACCCTAGATTGCTTTCACTAACCCTGCATTTCAGGGTCTATTCTCCTTCCTCCCTTTGCTACTCAACATTAATTATTTTTTCTCTAGTGGGATTAGCTTGCAATTTTCCAAGCTAAACATAATTTTGCTTTAAGCTCTATATTCCTAACCTATTCAGGTCCTCTTGCATTATTTCACTGGGGTTGATAACCTTTACTGATTTTAGTACCATCTGCAGCTTTCATTAGTATTCTGTTTACTCTTTCCGCTGGACCAAAATGAAGACTTTAAGGCCTGACCTGACTCCTGCTGTACCTGCTAGATACCTTCCAGCAACTTTCAACTTTGTTTTTCATTACCCATCATTTAGAGTCCTCTAGACAGTTTTCAATGCAGGTGACAATAAAAAGGTATTTCCCCAACCTTACAATAGCTATTAGAAACAACAGCAAGTAAAGCTAACCTCCCCACCCCGAGTCCCTAATAAAATAGTCAGTAAACTCTCTTTGCATGGATCACTAGCATAGCTATCGCTTTGACGCTTAAAAAAAAAAAAAATCCAAGCAATAATCCTAATTCTGGCTGGAAAACAAACAGAATGCAAGTTCTTATCATAATGTTGTTGAAATTGTTCTGAAAATTGTTCTGAAATGTGTTATTCTGACATTTATTGAAAACATCAGTAAACATAGTTGTTGGTAGACAACAAAATGGAAAGTTGGTGTTCTCCTTATAGCTAGTGGGTCATTTGCATTTTTCTGTTGCCAAACTTGTGATGAGAGTACCTGGACCTGCGTCTTGGAGGGAGTTAAATTACAAGTGAGTTGTCTGAATGCTTCTTGAAGATCTAGACCTTCCTCCAAGAGGCAGAGTAAGAGTACTGAAGGCCACATTCTCAATGGCTGATGTTATACTGCCCTTAGAGTGAACACGGCAACCTCATGGTTACCCTGGTCAGAATAATGAGTGACGAACATAGGGAGCTCCTCACTCTTACAATGCACTGCCATGGATCTTTGCAGGCAATTTTGAAGATCACGTGTCTGAGAGAGCTAATGCTTGGACCTGCTATGGATTCCCCACTCTACAAGGCTCTACAGAACTCCCGTGCCCTTGTGTACCCTCCCAAAGCTCCACAGGACAGGCAGGAGGACTGGCTTTTCCATTGTGGGAAGGGTGGGGTTCCTTGTGTGCCAGGACCAGGATTGTCTCATGCCAGAGGGAAATTGCAGGCAAGGTGGATTACATACAGGGCTAGACCAGATCAACGTGTTCTGGTGGCTCACTGCTGCTGGTGAGGCTTAGCTTCCAGGGACTTTTGCCTCTTCCAGCTCTGCCTGACACCTTCTGATGGCTATTTTCCATTTTGGAAGAGCCTAGGCCTTTTGTTTCAGCTGACGGTAGGGATTGTTGAGCACCTGTTCAGATGGTGCTGGGGGAACAGCTGTATGGCTGGTATGCAGGAGCACAGCAAACGGAGATAGCTAAGACAGAACTAGCAGTTGTTGCAGCAGCTGCCACAGCAACATGGAAAGGGGCCCAGAAACTCCGCTCAAGACTGCGGGTCTGATTAAGGCTCTGCAGCGATGGTGTCAATGTGACACAGGGCATGAATGGTGACTCCCGTGGTGGGGGAAGCAGGAAGCTTTTGTGTTCTGGCAACAGAAAAAAGGCTCCTTCTTCATCTGTCAAGGTGACATCAGAACTGGTTGAGCCTGAGCCAGGTGGACACATGACAGAAAAAGTGGGTGGTATTCATGGGAAAGTGGAGGCACCCACCTGCAAACTTGGCAGGACGTCTTAGAGGTTTGTAACTTGCCAGGTGCTCAGATCTGGATGCTGCAGAGACTGCTGAGGTTCATCCAGCCCTTGGACTATTGCTGCTTTTCTGCTCACCCATGTGGGCACCAATGATATTTGCTTTGAAACGAGTGATAAGAGAGCTTATGGGTAAGGATCAGAGGGCCAAACAACACGGGTGATGCGGCAGACATCTATTGCAGATTGCCTGATTGAGAAGATAAATTAGATGAAACCTTTTTAACAGTTGGACCACAGGACCGGGGAACTTTAACCACCATACAAACAATCCAGACCCTTGGAGTCCGGTATCAGTTTGTGACCGACCAAGAACCCCTACAATGGTAGAAGGCTCAGAGGGCAAAGCACCCATGAAGTTCAGGAGCAGTGTAAGACGTGGCTCGCTAATCCTTGCTGACTTTATCTGAGCACAAAGGGAGCCGAAGGGTGACCTTTGTTTTGGATAAGCAGTCACTAGTCAGTTAGACTGGTTTGAATGTTTCTTCAAAAGAGTGTGAAGGTCTCCCTGAGAACAGCCAGATCAGCCTGGGGGAAGTGTATACATGGCTCAGCCCACCAAAAAGTATAAAACCTCCACAACTAACAAAGGAATTTTGAAGAGCAACAGGCGTGAGCTGGCATCAACCCATGTATTCTTTCCCAGTGACTGGGGACACCCAGCATCGTGATGGCGAGCCTATTTGAAACTGATAATGGCAATCACATTGGTATTGTGATTGAACTGTCTAGCTAGATTTTGTTAAATGTATACACTTGAATTGTGATTTCAGTATATTACTGAATCACTTTACTAAATCACAAATCCCATGTAACATCAAATTCACTCAAAATAAACTTATATATGAAACATTACACCACCCGCATGCATGGAATATCTAAAAGAACCCGGTCAGAGAGGACTAGACTCTGACACAGTTCAATTACCTGCATCAAGAAACTGGCTAGAGGAAATGCTCTGCTGGATGTTTTACTCACAAAAAAGAGAGGAACTGGTCAGCGATGGCAAGCCTGAAGGCAGCCTTGGCTGCAGTCAATGTAAGATTGGGAAGTTTAAGATCGTAAGAGAAGTGAGTAAGATAAAACAGTGGAATTAAAAATCTGGACTTTGTCTTGTTCAGGGGTCTACTTCCCTATGAAGCTAGCAAATTCTCCTGGAAGCCATTTATAAGCATGTGAAAGACAAAAAGGTGACTGTGGGTCACCAAAAAGTCACTGGAGTCTAAGCGGTGTTTACCTTGGCTTTAGCAAGGCTTTCAACATGTATTCTTATTTAAACATAGTATTCCGATTGTCCAGTTGGTGAGCTATAGACTTGATAAGTGGATAGTCATAAGGTAGCTGGAAAATTGGCTGAACTGTCATACTGAAAGAGTTGTGATAAGCAGTATGAGGTCCAGCTGACAGCTGATGATTAGTGGTGTCCCTCAGGGATTACTGGAGGCAATGCTAGTTAATGTCTTTATCAACAAT